AACTTTCTCATGAGATTCAAGTTCACATATATGGAGACTTTAATCAACCATGCTGACAACTTAATTATGGACTCTGAACATTAGAGTATCTTACTAAACTGAAACATTGCAGTTCATTTTTGACAAACCTGCTAAATTATGACTGAACCAAATTAATCACATTAAAGACGAACATACTTGCTATTTGGACTTTTTACTAACGAATATTTATGAAGATTTCTGTGAGACTGAATCATTAAATTCATTGTGGCAAAATGAACCGTTTTGGGTAGCAAATGAGTATTCTCTATTTGTGCATGAAAACCAAAGATCCAACGACTGCGAATATGAAGTCTTAATAAACAAATTGGAAGACAATTAAATTTAAATTAAACAGAGTCAATTGGCAATTAATTTTACGAAATTTCGGAATTGCTGCGCACATAATTTTGGAAAAAAAAACGTTTGAAAAAAAAACAAACGTCACAGAAACACAAAAAAACCATTTGAGAATACCTTAACAATAATACTTGATCAACCTGAAGCCTTGAAAAATATCCAGAGGACTATATTGAAATGTTCGATCAGCTGGAAATCTTTTGAATACTTCGTGACCGACCTGACATCTTGAGAGAGCCAATTGAATGTTTGACCAGTTTATGATGTTTCCCTAGCAGCACACATGTCACTGAACAATTGTGGTTACTTGTGTGCCACTTATTCCAGTCACAATTAAGTTGCAGCAGCTTATTTCGATCGAAGTGTGCTGCTTGGGTTCTAAATAAGCTGAATCCACTAATATCTGATCAACCAGCAATCTTTAGAGACTATCTGGAGACGCCATTTGAATGTTATGAACAGTTGAATTGCTTAAGAATAATAATTGATCAACCTGAAGGCTAAAAATATATACAGAAGTCTTTAAATCTCTGATCAGCTGTATATCCTTTTATCCTATCCTGTTGTGTTCTGTGATCATCTACAAAGTTCCCACCACGTAAAGCATACATAACCGTAATCGTTTGTTTTGCATCCACGGAGGCCCTTCTCGCAGCTTTGCGTCGCTTCATCGCCCGCCACGGCATGCCAGAGTGTAGAAAGCGAGCAAAAGTCAATTTTGAGGAAGGCACGAATTGGGTTGATCATCTCCTTTACCAAACTCCCCTGTTGAGGGGTATCTCCCCCCACCACCACTGGCAAAAGAGATGATCGCCGATTTGCTCACGTACCTTCGATGTGCGGAAACAGTTCTATCGATTGTTTTACACTCAAGTTGGCATGTAACGTAAGCATCTAATACTTACCTTACCTTACCAATCAGGCTAAGGCCTTGTTTTCCTCTGCTGTCCGAAGAAGTCGTCTCCACTCTACTCGATCCATGGCCACACTTCGCCAGCCTCGTAGTCTGCGAAGGGTACGCAGGTCATCTTCTACTTGGTCGATCCACCTTGCCCACTGCGTGCCTCTTCTTTTTGTTCCTGTTGGGTTGCTTTCGAGAACGATTTTCACTGGGTCGTCGTGCTGCATTCTTATGACGTGCCCAGCCCACCGTAGTCGCCCAATTTTTGCAATGTAGACGATGGATGGTTCTCCCAGCAGCTGGTACACGTTCCGTCATCCATCAGCACTCCACCGTAGATGATACCCAACACCTTCTGTTCGAAAACACCAAGGGTGCGTTGGTCCTCCACGAGTATAGTGCAGATCTCGTGGCCGTGGAAGACCACCGGTCTAATCAGCGTCTTGTAGATAGTCAACTTAGTGCGGCGGCGAATTGTATTCGACCGGAGCGTCCTCCGGAGTTCCCATGAGGCATGATTCCCTTCCATAATGCGAATTTCTCTGCTGGGAAATTGCAGCCGTTGTTACATCTACAGCTGTATGCCAACTCTATACTTTCATCTCCTCATATAACGTATAAAATGACCACTTTAAGTCTGGTATTTGATGTTATGCATCTCCAACTATGTAAATCGTTTACTTCACGCATGGAGTAATACAAACATGACTAGCTAAAGTAAAGCTGCTTATCTATGCCGACGACATGAAGCTCTGTTTGAAAATAAGAAATGAAGAAGACATCAATGGATTCTGGAATGAGATACACATATTCTACACATGGTGTAAAAAAATCTATTAGAATTGAATGTAAAATAATGCAACTTAATATCATTAAGCAGAAAAAAAAACAACATGAAACCTTTTAATTTCATTAGAAAATCAAAATGTAGAAATATGTGAAAGAGTTCGAGATTTAAGAATAATCTTATAATCCAAACTAACTTTCATAGACCATAACAACACAATTATTCACAGGGCAAATAACATGCTAGGCTTTATCAAGCGCTTTCGCGACAACTTTCAGGACCCATACACAATTCAAACACTATTTATTGCCTATGTGAGGTCCTCCCTGGAATTTTGTAGCATTGAATGGTCTCCTTTTTCAATCACTCACGGGGAAAGGTCAGAATCAGTACGAAAACAATTTCTATTATTTGCCCTTCGCAAATTAGGTTGGACATCAATTCCCCTTACAGCATATAAAGCACGCTGCATGCTTATAAACATACAAACATTAAAAAAGCGTCGTGAATATGCAATGGTTTCATTTGTAAACGATATTGTTTCGCAGCGCATTGACTCAACAGAACTTTTATCAAAACAAAAATTATATGCACCTACTCGGCAACGCCGAAATCGAAATTTATTTGCCATAAACCATCATCGCACAAATTATGCAAAATATGGGCCATTAAATCGCATGATGACCTCTTGCAATCAATACTGCGAAACCATTGACTATGTCTCGGCGTAAATTAAAACAATATAAACAATAAATTAGGATCATAACGCATAAGAACAAAAATAGGAGTTAAGACACTGCTTAATTTTTATTTGAGCCTTTCAAAGATTTTTTCAAAGATTTGGATGAAACACTACGTCTGTGATTTCTATAGGGGGTATAAAGGGCGAACACGAAACTATTGCGACACATTCAACAGGACATAACTTTTTTACCATTGGGTAAAAATCAACCAAATTTTGCACACTTTCTCATTGATGTGTATTGTGTACATGCTGTCAAACTCGAAGTTGTGTTTTTCGATTCAACGAAAATGGAGGTGAACCAACGCAAGTTGAGAGAACAAATTCTTTCCAAACACCTGGAATTTCCTGACCTGTCGCACCGGCAGTTGGGAAAAATGTTAAACATTCACCATTCAACCGTCTCCAGAGTGTTGAAGCGGTTCCAGGAGTGGTTGACGTTGGACCACGGCAAAGGAGCTGGAAGAAAACCGGGACCGGAGAACAAAAAGACGGAGGGAAAGGTGAAGCGGATGATTAAAGCAAATCCCAACGTCTCAAGCCGTGATTTGGCTAAAAAGATCGGCATGTCGCAGAGCTACGTCCAGAATGCAAAGAAGAGAGCTGGACTACATACATACAAGGTACAGAACTTCCCAAACCGCGATGAGCGGCAACAATCGACGGCTAAAACTCGGGCACGGAAGCTCTATGAGAAGATGCTGACAAAATATGGCTGCTGTGTGATGGACGACGAAACGTATATAAAAGCCGATTTTAAGCAAATTCCGGGGTTGGAGTTTTTCACCGGCAAGAGCAAGTTCGATGTGGATGACAAATTTAAGAAGAAGAAAATGTCGAAGTTCGCCTCCAAATATCTCATTTTGCAGGCCATCTGCTCTTGCGGACTGAGGAGTGAGCCTTTCGTGACAAAGGGCACAGTAAATGGCGAGATCTACAAATCTGAGTGCCTCGAGAAGCGCCTTTTGCCGTTCTTGCAGCAGCACGACGAAGCTCCGCTATTTTGGCCAGATTTGGCATCATGCCACTATTCTAAAAGTGTCCTGGAGTGGTATGAGGCCAATTCTGTCCATTTTGTTCCAAAGGACATGAATCCGCCAAACTGTCCGGAGCTGCGCCCGGTGGAGCAGTACTCGGCAATAATGAAGCGGGAACTTCGGAAGAGCAAGAAGACAGTCAAAGACGAGAAGGACATGCTAAGAAAATGGAAAAAAAAACTGAGAAACTGGTACCGGATGACACTGTAAAGACTTTGATGGAGGGCATCAAGCGAAAATGCGTTCAATTTTACACTCAAGGCTCCATCGATTAACTTTTCTTTTGATTTTTGAAGTAAATATATGTATAAAACTACCCTAAAATTTTGGTTTGATTCTAAACAAATTTGCATGACATTTTCGGTGTCGCAATAATTTCGTGTTCGCCCTTTACTTTGTGAAAACCAAAAATGGGACATATAACAAAATTATGAAATATTTTGAACGTTAATAACTCAGCTGCCCCTGGACCAATTTCAATAATTTTATCACCAATCGATTAGAAATATTTCCACGCAAGTGTTGAATTTAGGATTTTATCATTTTTCAAAATTTCATGATTGAAAATTGCACGAATGTTCAACTGTTGCTATGATATTTAAAATTATCACCTATTGCCTGCTCAATGCTATTTCCCTGACACAGCTTTCAAAGCTGTATTCCATCAGGTCTCACCAAATAGTGTTTATTCAAACACCGAAACTGAGAGAACCCCACTCAAATTCCTATTCCTACTCAAAACACAAGCTCCTGCTGCAGTTAACAAAAAAGATTTATTATTTAGGACCACGTAGTACTACGTTACCATTACCAGTCCTATGAGGCTGTACCTTGTAGTTTTTTTTATGTTTATGAAAAAAATCTGTACATGCATTTGAACTAGTATACGTGGATTGACGAAATAAATAAAATCAAAACTCAAAATTGTCAGTTGGAAATATTTAAAAAAATAAATAATGATATTTGAAAACACTTGTGTGAAGCAAAATATATCATTTGAACGACCCTAAAATTAAGTTGAGGGTGGGCATAAACTTTAGAAGCAACGAATAAGTCCAAGAAGAGTCAAATGTTTCAGATAACCTTATATCCTTATATCCATTTACCACTAAACACAGCTAAATAATTGACACTTCTATGTTCTTTCTTTTACAGCTGCCCCCCTTCGGTGGAACTGCGAAGTGTACTGCACAATCGTGAAAATTATAAGCATATCTTCATCGATCACTTACTCCTACTGCATCGCAAATCAGCTGTTTCTGTAAAAATAAGACACATTTTCCTGAAAGGATTGTACATTACCGAACAGTATTTAAGTTTGTTGCGTACATGTCAAAGAAAATAACACATCCCTTAAAACATCCCATATCACAAAAATGCACAAGTTTGAACTCCACTTCCCCATGATTTCAATCAACATATCATTATTTTGTACATTGTAAACTAAACTAAACGTGAACGAGGCTAAGCGAGTGATACTATAGTCAAATTGCATAATAATGGTAAATACAGTGAAACGAAACTCAGAAACCCGAATTGCCAACCAACACCCACATCCTCACAACACACAAACCAGTTCCCTTCCTCAAGATAACATCCCGCAACACAATATATCAATTAAGGCAACTAACTAGAGCTAACTACTAACTAGGATGTTAATATGATTCAAATCCTTTAAACAAAACTCAAATCTAGCAAATATTTGACAAAGATGCGCTTTTTGTTGCCGCAAATCATTGAACAATAAGAAAACTATATACATATATAGATCGTAACTGAGTCCTAGGCTGATTATATCTTAGTGTATGATAAAATGGAGGGAAAAGAAATGAATCAAATCAGTTGTTAAATAGATGTAGCCATACCCAGGGTGACTCTGAAAATATTGGTGAGAATTAGACTGTGATTTTCCAAAACTTTTCAATGTTTTGAGTCACTCAACCCAAAAAAAATCATTTGAACACACTAGCAAAGCCTAGCAATGTACATATTGTCTCACCCTGCTATCACAAACCATGAAAAAGGTACCAATTTGTATTAAAAAACTACATTAGCCAAACCAAAAGAAATACCCCACAGAGACCATCAAAGAGAAACATAAAGTATTATTTTAAGCATAATCATACACATTATAACGTTTAATTGACATTCAGGAATTGTCAAAGAGATGAAAATGAAGTTATGACACTCTTGGAATCAAAAGAAATCTGCAAGATCAATTACGTATGTAAACAAAATCTGTTTTGATCGAGGCAAAATTATTTCACCTCGCTTAAATCATGGCACTCGGATTGAGTTCGAACAGATGGGTGTGGAAAAAAAGTGGAAAAATGCTATATAGAAATAACGAAGCTCATAACGACTAGTGACTGCAGCAGAGCAAAAAAAAACCGAACGAATGGCAATTCGTTCAAAATGTATTATTATAGGATATTTTTGTTAACTTGAATACCATGAACGAATCAATACGAAAATGAAGCAAATAAAAAGCCGAGGAAAATATTTGATTTGAATAATCCGCGTTTGCTTTTGATTTTACGCTTCCATCGGTCCGAAAAGCCCTTTCATACGTAGTCAAAGGACGATGACGACTATAACGCCAAACGACAGTTGGATAGTTGGTGTGTCCTCGGAGCTATCATCTACTACTACTGTGCCCGGATTAAATGCAATCAAAAAAGCTAATAATCAAAGCAAAAGCTTTACAATATTGCAACGTTTTCATTTTTGCTCCGGGTTTTCGGGATGGAATTCATTTTTGTTTGTTCTTCCTGTGCTGTAGCTCTGTGTGGCGACCGACGACGACGTTCTCTCCAGAAGACATCGACTGGCGAAAGCAATCCTGAAGGCGCTTTTCTAATAAGCATTCATATCGAAATGTGTTCGTTCAAAGGAATCGATTCTTCAAAGACATCTCTACCCTTACTGCTGATGCTTCTGCTGCCAGTTTGCCCCATCTGTGGTGGTGGTGGAAGCAATCGAATTTCATTTCGTGGTGGATTTCACATCGTTTGCATTTTGCTGATTGAAGTGCCGGGGCAAATGGTATTATTTACTATCCTCGAGATTATTCGCGATTTGTCAATTGTTACACGGTCTCAGCTGAGATTATTCATGGGGAGCGTCTTGTACGATGCCCAGAGTCGTAGTGAGGTTCAGGGTTGTTTAGATAAATTTAAATTAAAGGAGATTTAAAATATATCCACCAACAAATATCACAAGACAGGTTGATGTTCAAGAAAATATTTAAAACCACTTAGGTTTAATAAAATGGTATAAAATGAAGACAAGTATGAACTAGTTATTTTTTTTCAATACCCATGTTATTTAAAAAAAAAAACATCCTATCTTCTTTCATCGGGTAAAATATTTCCTGTACAATTTGAGATGCTTTGAAGATGTAACAACCAAACCAACCTGTTACAAAAGCCATGTTTTATTTATCCAAATAAATTTGAATCGTCAAAGAAAAAAATGATTTCTTGAATTGTGCACAAATGGAGGAAGATTGAGCTTTGATACTAGTCCCAATAGCACTTGTACGAATGACATTAGTCCGAATGGATCGTGTGAACAAAAATTAGTCTCCCCTACTTAGTTTTCATAAACCAACTATGAGCTTTTCTATGGTTACCTGAATTTCCCGGAATTATCTCGATCATCTTCCATGCATTGACATAAATAAATATGGTGGAATAGCAGAGTTATTTAAAAGCTTTACATCTGGGATTTCTTAAGCAAGATTACGCCTTTTGGAAACATATTGGCGGTTCAGTTAAAAAAAAACCGTCCGCGTTACGAAAAGTGGTCAAATTTTGACCACTTATAACTCTGTCAATAGAGGATGGATTTTAATTTTAAAAAGGCTAATTGATTGAAAATTTTTCAACAAATCTGTTAAAATTAACGCTATAGCAATTTTCAATAGGTCCCTACTGAAAATAACACAAATGTCAAACTGTTGCAATGGTGATCAAAATTATCAACGATTTCCTGCAAAAAGCGCTTTCCCTAACACAGATTTCAAAATCGAATTCCATCCGGTCTCGCCGAACTGTGCTTATTTAATCACTGTGTGTGGTCCGGTCGGTCATCATCATCATCATCAGCAGCAGCAGCAGCAGCAGTGCTTTCGGCGCATGGTGTTGAACATTGTTCTCCAGTGTACAACGAAAGGTTGCCCGCAAGCAGCGAGCTGCAGTCCACATGAACGTACATTCACTGAAGAAGGAAGAAAGAAGCCGCACCGCTACTGATCGGATTCAGTAGCTCTTCGTGAGTCGCTGTGGGCCAAGACGTCACCCTTGCTCCAAACAACATACAGCTCGCCAGCTTCATCTGTGTTGAACACACCAACAGCTCAGCATTACTCAACCATCACGACAAAACAGTCCTTTTCACGACTACCATAAATTTGTTAAAGAGTATTTTCTGGACATTTTTCAAGGTCATCAATTGGACGACAGATCCCATTAGTTTAAATCTAACTTTCCTGTATTTTTGCAACATTGGGGGCACAATTTCTAAAACCAAAGTCGGTCGCGGCATGAAAGTGGTCTGATTTTGATCCAGAGATGATGGATTTTAATTCTAAATACGCCAACCGATAGGAAATTTTTCTACAAATCTGTTAAAATTAAGACTTTATTAATTTTAGAAAAGTCACTATTGAAAATTGCACGGATGTGCAACTGTTGCTATGTTAATTAAAATTAAATATCACCGATTGCCTGCAAAAAGTACTTTCCCTACCACAGATTTCAAAATCGAATTCCATCCGGTCTCGCGTTGGTCCCCGGTTCATGAGTTGATGGGTCGATAGGTAGGGTCCAGGTATTGGAGCTGCCTCCCTGGTGTCGCATCGGTGGCATTGGTGCTCAGCACGGAAAACAAGACCGACGGAAAACAAATCAAGGGAAAAAAGAACTTACAAACACGATATAAGAAAGTGATCAGAGCTCTCAAATGACATTTGTCAATTTTTATAGATCCGAAAGATTCATAATTGAAAAATTTAGTTTTCTTTTTCCATTTTAAAATTTTACATCAATAAGTAATAAAACAATTTCTTAGGTCAGTTGTACTATTACTAATTATCATTGTTTAATGACTTTCGGCTCGGTAAAGTTTTTCAAAAATGAAGTATTACCAACTAATCAAAATGAAAAAAATAAACATAGGTAAACGAAAGATAAAAAGGTCACAAATTTTCAATTTTGCCAGTTATTTTTGAAAAACTGTTGGCAACCTTGCCTTATTTGCGAAGTAAAAATTAGTGCCGGAAACAGAAAGCTTTTTAAAATATCAAAAAAGTAGAAGGGTCTGTGCCTAGGGGCACGAACGGAAGCTTGACGTAGGACCGCTAGTGGACGGAACAAATGTGAACATTTAGTTCTTTTAATTGATCAATCATCAATTATCTTAACTCTTTCCGTTTTTTATTTGTAAGCGTATCAAATTTGTAGTATTTATTTCAAAGAGAAAGTTGATGAAGAGAATCCAAGGAACTGTCAACTTGAGTATTTTCGATTCATCTAGCCGACTTGTGGAGTTTTTTTGTTATTTATGAATTTTTAAGTTTTGTGCATTTTGGTATTAAAGTGTATTCAATTCACCCCTCACAGGATTTCCTTCCGAATTATATGAATGGGGCGGAGCGGAAAGTATCGTTTGTGTAGAATAGGTAAAAAAGGAGGGACTTCGAGAGATTGAACTCGTGAGAGCAAATTTTCTCACAAATTTGATTTTATTGGCTTTCTGGGGACTGAATATACACCCAAAGCGAATTATTCCCACTTCTCTCAAATTCTATATGGATTTTTAACACTTCCTACCAGCGTGTTCTGGAAAATGGTCGGACGATGATTAATCTCACCAATACATTCGGGCCTACAATTCCACACCTTCTATAGAGACCAGGCTGAGCCTTGATAGCTAGCTGCTTGCGGGAACTGATGACCTTGACAAATGTCCAAATAATACTCTTCATAAATTTATGGTGATCCTGAAAAGGACCGTTTTGTAGTGATGGTTGAGTAATGCTGAGCGAGCTGAGCTGCTATTGGTCGAAACTTGACCTATTTTCGTAATGCTGTGCATTTTGGTTTTTTTTTTTAAATTGCGTGGATTCTATTATAGATCCTGTGGAAATCTATCTAGCCCTGATGTATGTGTTGGTAGAGGGAAAAAATGTCAACTTTGCAGGAGACGACGTCTTAACACTCGAAAGCAATTTTGTGAAATATGAAGTAAAACAAATCCTAGCTTGTTCTGCATGATGATTTTGTTTGATTTTATTTATTAGTAAAGTCGCCGGGAAATACCAGCTGGCGATTTGTTTTTTATGATAACTCCATACTTGAAAACAGGCAAAAACTTACAAACAGGCTGCTTTTTCATGGTATACAGTGTGATAATTCAATAATCAATAAATTATCTCAACATTTAGTGGCAAATCATTCATAAATTTAGGTAACACACAACAAATTCTATAGTCCACATTAAATTCCATATGTAAGCGCCGATTGAAACACTCTTTTCGACATCACTACAAGGGTGATTGATTAAACGAAAGAAACAAATCGTGCGGAATGAGCCGAGGAAAAACTAATTGCACCAATATATTCAGGCCTACAATTCCATACCTTCTAAAGACAGGTTGAGCCTTGATAGCTAGCTGCTTGCGGGAACTGATGTCCTTGTCCAAATAGTACTCTTTAACAATTTTTTGGTGGCCCTGAAAAGGACCGTTTTGTAGTGATGGTTGAGTAATTCTGAGCTGGGTGCTCAATACGGATGAGGCTGTCGAGCTGTATGTCGTTTGGAGCGAGGGTGACACGCTTGGCATAGATGACCGACCCGCAGCGACTCACGAAGAGCTACTGATTCCGATCCATAGCATAGCGGTGCAGCTTCTTCCTCCTTTGATGGTTGCTTATGTGGACTCTGCAGCTCGCTGCTTGCAGGCAGCCTTTCGTTGTTACTGGAGAACAATTTTCAACGCCACACGCCGAAAGCACTGCTACTGCTGCTACTAATTTCGACGACCGAACACCACCGCACAGTGGTGTGGTCGTTGGGAGCGTGTGGTTCTGAGAATGGCGATGAGTGTGCAAAATATTACGCAATTCTATCCTCCCTGTTCGCACGCGCCCGAAGATCGGAGGCGAATGCTGCTTCGACTTGTTTCGTCTACTTACTACTCTTTGACGACTGTGCTGGGGAAGCAGCATATGCATGTAGGTAATTGGTGGATTTGTTAGTTAATTCGACGCTTTTGGACAATGCTGGACATTGCCCAGTTTTTCAATAATTTCTTGTTAAAAATCAACATTAGGAAGCATTGTTATTGATGCGTAGCCATATTTCTGATCGATTGGTGATAAAATTATTGAAATTGGACCAGGGGAAGCTGAGTTATTAACGTTCAAAATCTTTCATAATTTGTTACATGTTCCATTTTCGGTTTTCACAAAGTGTACCCCCATATAGAAATCAAAGACGTAGTCCTACGTCA